TCCTCCAAGGGGATCATTGTATATAGACCCCAAACCAGTTAGATCAAATAGCACTTTGATTATGTGCTGTAGGAATTACACAACAGGTCCAAAACTTGAAGGGGATTGAAGAGCACACTTGATTGTCATGCATCCTGTAAGAAGAACAGTTGAGCAGATGATTAGGCAGTTGACAAATGCAAATCTTAGATAAACAGAATAGTTTGTGATCCGGCATAAACATTTTAGAACTCAGGCTATTCCTATTTTATGCTTAATTTTCTCTAGGCCTTGTATCTTCACCTTTCCCAGACAGAGGTACCTTACTGCCTCAGCAGAGGTGGAAAAAAGTGAGTCTCAAGAAAGAGATTACAAAGGAGAAATATTTTTAAAATTTGGAAATAGTCCTTAAGGTTAATATTTTATCACTTTATGAAAATATGAATCTTAAGTTCACATTTATCAAAGCATGTTCATGTCTGGCTCTAAACCAACCTACCTCTAGAGCTTTGAATTAATTCACCCTTATTTCATGCTGATTAAATTCCCTACACCTTTAGTTTCTCTGACATATCCTCTAGCAGCATTTTCCAATGTTTGTGCATCAACACCATATTTAAAACCCACCTGAGGGGCGCCTGGGTGGCTCAGTCGGTTAAGTGTCTGACTTCGGCTCAGGTCATGATCTCGCGGCCCGTGAGTTCGAGCCCCGTGTCGGGCTCTGTGCTGACAGCTCAGAGCCTGGAGCCTATTTCGGATTCTGTGTCTCCCTCACTCTGACTCTCCCTCATTCATTCTCTGTCTCAAAAATAAATAAACGTTAAAAAAATTTTTTTTTAAACCCACTTGACGTAAATAAATTTCAGCCCAAAACTTTTCTTGTTCTAGAATGCCAAGCGTGCAGCACCCCCTCAAAGGGAAGTTAGGTAAGTTCCAGGGGCTGACCCATTAATAGATTGTATGTTTAAAAACAACAGTAATTCTTTTGTCTAGATAAGAAGTTCGACTTTTCTTTCACTTTGACTATATTAGATACATTCACATATGAATTTCATTTAAGTTAAATAATAAGATGTCTTTATATACATAGTCAGAAAACATTATAGCCTGGACTTAGCACTCACAGATAAGGAATTGTCAGTCTGCCATTTATGCAAGTTGGTTGTGTTCTCCATGTAATCTCAGTATAGCATTGCTAAGAGCTAAGGCCTCTGTTTTCAAATCTCGAGTCTTTCACTGTGCTGAGTCACATTAGTCACTGTTTCCTTCTCGGTGTGGTAACCAGAAATGATTATCTTTCTACCATAAGGATGTTGGGGAATTAACTATTACTAATAATTGTGAAAACAGAAAGCAACAGATACTGTTACTTATACTTTATAGCATGTCTTATGTTAATAAAAATGGGAGGGAAAAAATGGGAGGCCTTAGGTCACCTGAAATTTCCAGTAAGTAGTCTTGGCTTTTGGATGAATAAGTTGTTCATTGGAAGTGCTCTACTGAATTGATCAGCCATGCCAAGGCAAATCCAGTGGACACGGGTAACAGAAATTAGCGACAAAAGGAATACACAGAAAGGAATTAGAACGTTTCAATCCTATAAATATATTTAAAAAGAATTAAATGTCTTAGGGCCATATGTAAATAAAAAGTGTACACCTACCTATACCCTATATGTTGCATGTATAGGTTTCTTCTGTAGTTTTGAAGAATATTTGAGAGGAGCCACTTATTCATGTATGTTTACTTACAATATTTAATCCAGTGACTTGAATGTGGTAGATACTCAGTGAATAAATGATTTTTTTTAAAAAAAGTGAATTGACAAGTTCTATGACAAGGACCCAGTAAAGTAAAACTTGTTATAGTTACAGACTATTAAATGGCTATTTGTTCAAAAGATTGTGTTAACATGGAAAGCTATTTATAGTGTTAAAAATATGAAAATACAATAATAATGATAGAAAAAAAAAACCTTTGAATAAAACAGACCACAGCAAAATGTTAAAATAGGACTTTAGAAGGTTCAACTATGGGTATTCTTGTCTCCTCTCTACTTTCTATTTTTTCTTTAACAAACCTATTTCTTAATTATACAATTTGGTATACCTGTGAAACTGGCAGGGAATGTTATAGGAGTTGATGTATTACTTTGTGACAGCTTATATTTCTGACATAAGGTCATGTTGCTATCTAATTGATAGAGCTTCCAAGCAAGAAGACTAGTTAGAAGGTAACTTATCATAGTTTATGTACTAGCTAAGAACATGTTTAGCTGCACATAACAGAAAACAGTCTAACCAAATTGGGGTTACAATGAGTTCAGGGGTAGCCAGTCTAGGACTGCTGCTGCAGCTTCAAGATATCATGAATGACTCAGATTCCTACCTTTCTGCTCCAGAATCCTTATCTTGGGGATCTCTTCTTTATATTTCCTACATCATGTTCACTTTCATTTTTGTCATGAGGCTCCATCTCCATCCTTACATTGTGTTATAGGAGAAAGAAGAAAAGAAGAAATGGAAGGGGTGTCTATATATGTTAAGGAAGAAGTGGTTTTCTAGAAATCTTCACCATGTGTCTAGAATTATATGCCATGGCCACTCATAAGAGTATGAAATCTAGGAAAATGAGTTTTTTGGCTAGCCACATTGCTAGCCCTCCCCCTTCCTCTAAAAAGTATCAGGCTCTTTCTGATAAGGAAGGGGCAATCATTAGTATCTGCTAACCCTCTTCTCATATAAGGAATATACTTATCCCCTCCCTAAGAGAAACAATCTCAAAGTTTCATCCAGTTATTGTAATGAGCTCACAGTCCAGGATCCAGAAGTTCCAATGATATGGAATACTCCCATTGTGTGGCTCTTCATGCTCTGGGAACCAACTTTTAAAGAAAAGTTATTTGCCTCGTACTCCTAATAAGTAACGGTGGATAGACAAGGTACAGGATGGTGGTAAAAGTCTCATCAGAAAAGGGGAAAATGGGAAATACACAGTGAGCACTGGTACACACAACATCACGTATCTTGTTAGGTAACTAGCAAGAAATCTATGCCCTTGGTCATTTAATCTGTCAGTTCCTGATTTTGTTCTGTAGGAGGACCTTCTTTATCCCATTATCTTCCAGGGATCACGTTTGGGGTGGACCTTGTGGAAAATACCTCTTCTGGAGTAGTAAACCTTTAACAGTCTGAGGAACCTAGATCCAAGAGTGGTGAGTCAAGAACCTGGTGCCATTTTTCTCTCTGGGGCGACTGATGTTCTGAAAGTAGTAGAGGCTGAGAACTAGCTAGAATTTTCAACTGCCTCAGGGGAAGTGGGTAGGGAATGGAAGGTGAAAGATTTGAGTTCAGGGTCTGAGGAAGAAAGACTTCAAATTGGAATTCCAAAGGGCTACACTCTGGAAGTAATGTTTAACTATTAATCCCTGGATTAAGGTGGTCTGTCCTTAATCTAAGTGAACCCCCCCCCCCCCTCAAATGAACCACACCTTCTCATATTCCTGGCCTCTTATGGGCCCCTCCTACACAGAGTCTGAGTTTGGTCATATGACTTGCTTTGGCCAATGACACATTAGTAAGCATGATGCAAAGACTTGCATTCTATTTCACCTATTAGCCTCTGAATTCTGTCCGTATCAATCCTACCTTAGTTGAATGGCCATGACTTGATGCAATGTGAAATACGCCTGCTGGGGAGGTACTACCCTTAATCCATTCTTTGCTGGTGTGTCACCCAGTCTGGTATAGAATAGTTTAAGAAAGCTTGAAACAGTTACTTCTATTACTACTGCTGCTTAGCTCCTGTTTTGATAGGCTTTCATGTTTTGTAAGGTCATAGTTGACTTCTTTTTCAACCCAGAAAGTCTCCGAATTATGGAATTCAGTCAGTTTAGATCTCAGGCAGAGAGCACAGCTTTGCAAGCTGTGGTCCCTTCTCTCTGCCAGCTGTTGGGGATATAGCCATAATTAACTTTTAGGAAAAGAAAAGGGCCTTTCTTCTCCAATATGTAGAGATTACATGAATTGAACGTAGTGTTTCTTCCTCTACCACTGAAGGGCTGTTCGATATAGGAAGAGGCTTACCATCCAAGCCATTTTATGGTCCAGAAACTATAGCGAAGTCACATGCAATGTATATACTAAAGATGAGTGTATGGTACTCTGCAAGTTCCACGAAGACAGGCATGGCGTCTGAGCTGATCAAGGCTGTATGTAGCCTAATCCTAGTTACACACACAATAGACACTGAGCAAACATTTGCTGAATGAATAAATTATTTACTACGGTGTTTAAGGGCTTTCAAGCACATACACTCGCTCTTACTGTCAAAACCCCAAAGGTAGGTTTCCCTTCTGTTACGCTGCCTACGTTTCCCGTGAAACGGAGGAGTGTCCACGACCGACCGCGTCGGGTAGGCTACTGGCCGGGGTGCGCTGCTGGGCCGGGCCGTCAGGTATGCGGAGGGCGACCCCGTCTGGCCACAGTGGCAGTAGCAGCCGTTTGTCTCCTCTTGGGGTCCAGCGGCGTCAAGGGCAGGAGGCGTCTTACCAGGAGGCAAATAAAGCCTACTGTACAGAAACCGCTCGTTCTGTTGCACATCCTCTCGGGTGCTCGGGTTTCCTCGGAACACCGTGACCCTTCACGTGTCTGCAGTCAGGTAGAGCCTCCCTCACGGGGCGCACACTTACCCTCTTCACAGCCGTGCGCGCTCTCCAGCCCGCGCGTGGATCTGGACCCTGGGGGACCCAGCTGGCCGCGGAAGGACACGCCCCCTCGCGGGAGCACGCGGCCGCCGCAGGCAGCCCTCGCGCGCCTCCCTGCCAGAGAGCGCGCACGCGCACGCGGGGCGGGCCTCCTTCCCGGCACCCACTGAGCGCCCGGCCCTCTCACCCCACCCCTCTCCCCCGCTGCCCAGGCTCCGCCTCCGCGACGGGGCAGCAGAGAGGAGGCGACCGGAAGCCACTTTAAAGCAGAGCTCGGGGTGACAGGCGAGCGAGCTGGATCGGGAGTGCGGTTGCGGCTTTCTGCACTCCCGGTGGCGGAATGGCCAGTGCGCTGCTTGTCTGTCGCGTCTCCGGCCTGCGACCCTTAGACGCCTAAGCCTGCCCTGCGCGCCGATCCTCCCGCGCGGACGCTGCCGGCGAGCCGGCGGTGAGGCGACTCGGCTCCTGCGGTCCGTTCTCTCAGGCAGCGCGATCAGGTAAAGGGCTCCGGGTGGGCTCTGAGGAGCCGACGAGAAACCTTAGCTGGGATGGTGGGCGAGGACGGGGGTCTCCGGCTTCGCAGCCTCTCACGGATCTAGGGGTGATTGATGTTTAGACTGTGCCTTTTTCTACCAAATTCACTCGGATCCCGTCAGTACCGGGATGGGATTGGTGTACACTTCTTAATCACTTACGGCCTCGGGCAGGTGTATAAATCTGAGGAAGACACTGAAGGGTTTAGTCAGGGTCGCCGGCGTCTCCCCAGTCCCACTTGGTCTGGGTGGGCGCGGGGGCACGTCTATGCGGCCTCCCCCGCCGGGCGGACCCCGAGCGCTCTGAGGCGAAGTGAGGAGAAGCACTTCGCAGATTGAGGGGCAGGGCATGGCAGCTGCGGGGAGCCTTTCGGCAGACCCGCGTTCCGGCGGCAGCCCAGAAGTTTGCAGGCTGTTTTCAGATCAACTTTGAAGGCACAGGAGTCCTCGCCTTCCTCCCCGCCACCTCGAGAAGCGCCGACCGCCTTCCCCCCCGCGCTTCTCGGCTCATTTCTGCGAGCCTCCGAGACTCGCAGGACGATCCTCGCAGGAAGGTCGGTTGAGGAGGCGAGCAAGCAATTAAGTGTGGACGGCGCCTTGGGGGGCTTCTGGGATGGGGGGAAGCCTGGGCGGGGGTCGCTGGTTGGGACGAGGCTGCGGGGAGGTTTTGGGGGCGCTCCGGAGTCTGCCGCGGGGAAGGCGAGGGTGCGATGCTCCGGAACGCCGGGAATTGGCCGAGCCGGGCGGCGCCTCGGTCGCGCTGCGCGGAGTTGGCGCGGCCCCGGGGGCGGAGCTGCGGAAACCGCCGCGGCCGGTAGGAGGCGTCTCTCGGACCCGGGCTCGACGTCCGGGTGTCGCGCAGGGGCTGCGCGGGGGAAGAGTCCTGAGTTTGCAACGGGCTGTTTCGGTGCACTGCGCCGGGGGCCGGGAGTGAGATCACGAGGTGAGGGGTGGAGCGGTAGGTCGCCTGCAGCGGGGGGACCGGAGGAAGTGTCCTTCCAATCTTTATTTTTCTGTTATGCAAACTAATTGAGGAACTGGGTTCTAGTGACTTCCCCACTCCAGCCACTTCAGTTCTCCGCCTCTTCCTCAGTTTTATTTCCCAGTTTGACGGAGGGCAATAACAGGAAAAGTTACCGTGTGTGTGTACACCTCTATAAATAAAATTGGTTCAGTGTCTGTTTTGCCTTGGGTGGATGTGGTAGGAGTGGCGTGTGTGTGTGTGTGTGTGTGTGTGTGTGTGTGTGTGTGTGCGCGCGTGCATGCATGCGCGCGCGCGCGTGTCTGTGCGCGCGCGCACGCACTCGAGGGGAAGGCACAGGCGGGTTTAGTGGGGTGGAGAGGGAATACCACAATCTGTGCCAATTGTGCCTTGAGGCAAGAGCGCCGAGTGATGAATAATAACGCCTGGCTTGGCGGCTTTCCAGTTGATTTATGTCTTATGTCAAGTCCCTCCTTCCCTAACAATGCCAGCTCACACCGAACTCTTTCTGCCTTTTCCTTTTGTACTTACCGTGTGCCCTAACACCTGGCTCTATACAGTTGAACGCTAAAAAACAAGTTGGAACTTTCCGGGTCCACCTATATGTGGATTTTGTGTACTACTGTAAATGTGTTTTCTCTTCTTTGTGATTTTCTCAACCTTTCCTGTAGCTTACTTTGTTGTGAGAATACAGTACAATAACACATGTAACACAAAATTTGTGTTAATCGGCTGTTTGTTATTGGTTAACTGTAGGCTGCTAGTAGTTAAGTTCGGGACTCAAAAAGTTATGGATGGATTTTTCCAGGGGTGGGTTCCATGAACCGCCTCTTCCACCCACCTTGTTCAAGGGTTAGCTGTACTGTGCTTTCTTTGAGTTTGATCATTATGAACTTTTTATACATAGATTTATGAATGTTTCCAGTTAGATCTTTAATATTCATTTTTCTGGGGATTCAGTTGTATAATTTTGTTATTGTTGACCTATAAAGGCTAACAGAACAGGTGCTTTTTCTTCAGTTATTCAATTAAAAAATATTATGGAGCACCTGTGTGCATTGTGCTAGGCATAGTACTGGTCACCTGGGATGAGTATTTGATGAAGCCACGGACCCTTGCATCAATGATCTCTTTTTCTTTTAGTCTGTTGGCTGAGAGAGAGAGAGAGAGAGAGAGAGAGAAAAGATTAATTGCTTATCACCAGCTCTTTTCCACCTCCTACAGTGCTAAGGAGGAGACGATGATATTTGTCATTTTACAGAGTTTGCTTTGCTTTTGACTTTAAGTTCTAGTTTTTTTCAAGGGGTCTGATTCTTTGAAGAGAGCACCTTTTTGGTTTGAGTAGCTCATTAGGAAGCTGACATTTGGTGTGTGTGTTTTATATTCTTGCATTATTTTTCTATAATATGGCTTCATTTGCTTTAATAGATAAAGTCATGTATGTGTCATTTCTGAAGACAAGGACAAGGAGGCCCTTTTGCAATTAAGAAGTTGTGTTTGGTCTCTAAAACAGCCTATAGTGGTTGCTGCTGATGTAGCTTCTGTTGCTAAACAAGCAACTGGCATTCCTTCTCCAATAGTGGTAATGTTTTGGGAATTGTAAAAGTAGACCCTTAACATCCTTCAGGAATATATTTGAACTTAGAAGTGCTTCAACATGCCCCTGGCTTTCTCCCACATAACATTTCCATTGACAGCCCCTGTTTCCTGGGTAGATTCTCATGCTTTAAATTCACTCACTATTTAACTTTGAAGTTAATCTTTAATTTGGTGAACTTTTTTTTTTTTTTTTTTTTTTTTACAAAGAAACCGTTTTGTCACCTCGTGAGATAGGTGATAAACAACTGTGAAGAGAACCACAAACCAGAGAAGTTGTGGTTTCCCTGCTGTCATCAGTTAGCCACACTTATTTCTACACCTCACCCCCCAACCCCACCCTAGACTTACAGTAAAAACTGATACTCCAGCAGAATTACCAATCATATATTGTCCACAAATAAATGTCAAGAGTCTATTAGAAGATACTGTCTCTTTACCTTTACCTGCTATGGGCTTTTGAATAGCCTTGGCTGCTTTGGAGCCTTAATTTCTCATTAAAATTTAAAATTGACCCATAAAGATGAAATATGGTATAAGAGGAGTGACTTCAGGGACTTAGTCACAGACTAAAACAAAACATTTTGATGAATGAATGGGATCCAGTTGTTGTCAGCTTGCAAATGATCATCTTCTTTCCTTTCCTGGTAGGATTTTTAGACTCTGAGGAGCAATTGGAGCTCATCCACACCATGGAAATGGAAACCACCGAACCTGAGCCAGACTGTGTAGTGCAGCCTCCCTCTCCTCCTGATGACTTTTCATGCCAAATGAGACTCTCTGAGAAGATCACTCCATTGAAGACTTGTTTTAAGAAAAAGGAACAGAAGAGATTGGGAACCGGAACCCTGAGGTCTTTGAGGCCAATTTTAAATACTTTGCTAGAATCTGGCTCACTTGATGGCGTTTTTAGATCTAGAAACCAGAGTGCAGATGAGAGCAGCTTACATGAACCTATTGTGAAAAAACCCCTGGAAATCAATCCATCATGTCCACCAGCGGAAAACAGTATGTCTGTCCTGATTCCTGATGGGACAAATGTTGGGGGCCAAATACCAGAAGCTCATCCTTCCACTGATACTCCAGAACAAGTGGTTCCAATCCAGGATCACAGCTTTCCACCGGAAGCTATCAGTGGGACGGTGGCAGATTCTACAGCAGGGCACTTCCAAACTGACCTTTTGCACCCCGTTTCAAGTGATGTTCCTACTAGTCCTGACTGCATAGACAAAGTCATGGATTACATTCCAGGGGTTTTCCAAGACAACAATTTTACAATCCAGTACATTTTGGACACCAGTGATAAGTTGAGTACCGAGCTTTTTCAGGACAAAAGTGAAGAGGCTTCCCTTGACCTTGTGTTTGAGCTGGTGAACCAGCTACAGTACCACACTCACCAAGAGAATGGAATTGAAATTTGCATGGACTTTTTGCAAGGCACTTGTATTTATGGCAGGGATTGTTTGAAGCACCACACGGTCTTGCCATATCATTGGCAGATCAAGAGGACAACTACTCAAAAGTGGCAGAGTGTATCCACTGATTCCCAGGAGCACTTGGAAAGATTTTACTGTAACCCAGAGAATGATAGAATGAGAATGAAGTATGGGTATGTATTTATAACTACTTTAAAACTATTGTTAAATCCTATAGAGAAGGTCAAGAGGCTAAATGCTTATTAGTAGGGTAGTTTCTTTCAGTAGTAACCTAACAGGTTTTATTCTTTTCTTTACTGTTACTCTTTCAGCTGTATGCTAACCTGGTTTTTCATGTTGGTTTAATGCAGAGTATTCACCTAACCAGATTATGAAGTTTTATGATTTGAACAATCCATATGTCACTCTGTACAGTATGTGTGTGCCAGAGAAGTTGCATATACATTGAATGTTGTGAATCAGATACTGTTTTAATCACACAAAAGAGCTTGCTTTTGAAAGAAAATCCAAGGTTAATCTTACTGTAGCACAAATAATGAATACCAAATTTATCTAATTTTAAAGTTTTGCATGTTGAGTAGCTGCTAGTTTTTTAAAGGAAAATAGTATCATTTGGAGATATCTGTGTCCCTCTTTCCATTTTGAATGATATGGTTTTTCTGTGAGCTTCTTCCCAAACTTCTGAATCATGCCCAAACATTAATTTTTTTTTTTCTTTTTTAAGTTTCCTTAAGTCTTTCTACCTTTAAGTTTATTATTCTGTTTACCTTGTAGAGAAAATTGTTCTACAATTCAGGCTGTTTTCTTAGACCTGAGCAGTGAGTTGAAGGGAAATTTTATGTTAATAGATATGTTGATTTACAGGGAAATTTTATGTTAATAGATATGTTGATTTACCATTTACATAAAAAACAGTTATCCTCAAGTTTTTGTATGCAAGACATGTATGTAAATAATTCAGTTCTTTTAGTGCAAATTCAGATAGGGAACTGAAATTTCCACATCTGAATTCTTACTTAATTGAATATAAATTGAAAGAAATGGTAGTTGCCATGTGTGAAGTTGCTAGTGTAAAAATGGCTGTGTAGTAAGCATTAGTCTTTAGATTTCAAATTTGTTTCTCCTGTAGTATAGGAGTTAAAGTATATGATGTTACTAGCTATTTGTCTATGACCAAGAGAAAGGATTAAAATTCTATGAGGGGAGAAGAACACATCTGTCCATGCTACCTGACTTGGGAGACAATGAGGGCAACCTGACAGCTTCACAGATAATGAATGGCCTAATACAGTACTGAGAGGCATGACCCATAGAAAGGAAAAATATGCTGAGAATCCTAACCCACAAGTCTGAGAGAAAACTTTCTTAAGAGTCCTCTTTTTTCACAGATAAGTTGGGTTACACTAACCCAAGTGTCTGGAGAGCCAGCAATCAAATGGTGTCAGTAAACGTTTCCAAGTTGTCTAATTTTGTTAGTCTTGATGTTAACCTTCTGTGTTCTAACATAGTGCCAGGGCATTGTTGGTATTGTAGAAACCAGGTTTTTGGTTTTGTTTTTTAATTTGTTCCCTTTTAGTATTAGGTAAGTGGTTTTCTTTTGATATTGCATTATGTAAGTTGTATAGTACACAGATCTGTGTGTCTTTTTAGCAACTTAATTATCGTGAGACTAGAACTTTGCATCATTTGTTTCAAAAGGGATGCATGGGATAAAATGAGAACCAATATAAGGCCCAAGTTTAAGGCATTGTTATATAGAAGCCCCTTGGGATAAAAGTAAGATAATACTAAGAATGTAGCTTTCCTGATCAGGAAAATCAAGATGTTATCAAGACAATACATTTATTAATACTAGGTTTTCAAGATTCTATCTTGCTTGGGTAGCAAAATTTCTTAGATCCTGCAATAAAGCTAAGTACATTTAACTTTCTTCTTCTTCTTTTTTTTTTTTTAAGCCAGCATTGGAAGAGAGAAAAATGTTTTCTATTTTATCTTAAAAATCTTTTTTTAATAAGGTATTGTCCAAAATCTCTGTTGCCCATGAGCTAGCAATTCTAATTGGTATGTCAAGGGTAATTAATTTTACATATTCTCAAAGCCACTGTAATCCTTCCATCTCCAGATTGCAAAAGTGCAGAACAGTGGCCTCCCACTTCACTCTTATGAAGCAAATTTCCAGTCTGCTGAGTACTTCAGCATCTTGGTACATTAAGTTTCTATCTGTTTGAATTGGTCAGGAAGAAACTAGCAGGACTATTGTCCAACGCATTACATTCTGTTACCATGAGCAAAGCAAGACAGGTATTTTGATCTCAGAAAATCCAAGAACTCTCTTAGATCAGGTATTTTATCCTCTGGTAAAATTACTTGGCCGAAAAATTAGATAAAGCTATAGGCCTCTAGTCATACAGTGTTGGATAATTTACAAGTAGTTGCAGTGAGTGCTTGATTTCCAAATCTGTTTTAATGAAGTAAACTAATATTTATTTGACACTTAAGAGCAAAAGTGTCAGTGAATTATTGTAATTACTAATTCTGCTGCTACATTGTTAATGGTAGTAAGTGGTCCTGCTCTGATAAAAATAGCAAAAAAGTATTAACAGTTAATTACTAGTAAAGTGAAGTTCTCCATAGACAACAGTAAGAAATATAAGATTGTAGATAGCTAAGTGTCAAAAATTAGGCTTTTGGGAAGTTGACCTGTGGTCATTGCAACCTGGTTTTCCTTGTATTCCGAAGCGATGTTGTGTTTCCTGGCAACAAGATGCAGATAACGGCATGTTGAGCCTTGCTGAGAGATTCACAAACAAGCTGGAGCAGCCCAGGTTCACATGGTTACCACATTATTTGGCTAAAGCTATTAATCTCTGTGGTCAGGCCTGTAAAGCTGGTCTATCTGTACAGATTGCACATAACCAGGAAGTGTGTGTTCAGCTGTGTATATGTCCAAGTCTGGCCTAGCAGTCTTCGGATGCAGAAACAATGAATGGCAGTTGTTTTTCCCACTTATTTTCAGCAGTTTATACGACTTGGTAGATCATTATTATATGCTATATCTGTGAGATACTTCATTGTATGTATGGAACTTGGGAAGAGTTCATAGTTCTGGGTCTCTAGCAGAGACAAAAGTTTGTAGTCTCAAAACTGCAGATGAAATTCTTTGTTTTGCAAATGGATTGGATTTAACATCTAATTTAATCCAAATTAGATGTACAGTATTTATTTTATTCTCAAGAATGAAATTGGAAAGGAAGTTGAGCCAGATAAGTTCACAGGTCTCTTCCAACTCTTTAGTCAAGATGTCTAGATGCTAAAAATGTTTTAAAAAGAGGATTTCAATAGTAAATGCTTACTTGGTTTATTATAGTGAAATTATTTTAATTATTCTTTTCGAGTTTTGTCGTTATCCCAAATTATGATACAATCCCACTTCGCTTTTTCACTCTGCTTTTATATATCTCTAGATGTTTATTGCTGACATCAACTGAAAGTAGTTGTATGTATGAACTCCCCATATTTAGATGCCAAGGCTTCTTTTGTACACGGGATGGGCTTTGGAGAATTTCCAGATTCCAAATACACAGTTAAGAAAACAACATTGAATGTTGTGTTTTAGATTAAGAAAACATAGTCTCTGACAGCTTAGGCACTCATCCTTAGTAGAAAATGATACTAAATGGCAGGACTAAGCAATTTTGAAAGAGCTTTACAAACTGTGTGGAATACTGTTGTGGATAATTGAAATTGTGGAGGATGTGCAAATCTCCCTTTAGCAACTGAGATCACCATTGTTTTTCATTTTACATTCATTTTAAAGTGTGCCAGAATACAGAATAGTCTTCCAGTTATTATCACCCATAAAGAAAAGGCACTCTGCAGAATATATTTTGGAGGTAATCTGTACATGAAAATATGACCAGTGATTATTTCGAATTCTGAATTTCCTGAAAGGGGGAGGGTGAAGAAGAAAATTGCAAACCCTGACTCCATGGTTAATTTTTCTCAGAGGCCAATGTTGTTTTCTCCTCTTTTGGAATTAAGGCTTATTGATACGAGAGGGAGTTTTACTAGTTATGGTTTAAGCATAGAGTGTTGTTATAGCCTTAGTTTTGAGTGATTGTGATTGCTCTTAGGAGTTTTTTGTGTTTTTCTTTAATCTGGCCAAGGGACAATACCATTAGATGATTTCACAGGAACTCTGTGAAAGAAGACAGAGAGGACTGCATATTAATGATAATAGAGAGCATATGCTCCTATTTTTTATTTGACTTGAAGAGTGCATATCTAAAGTAGAGCAAGCTCCTGACTGAACTATACTAGAATAGTTAATTTAGCCAAGTTAGCTCTGGCCTGCACAGCTGTGATGATATAGGAACTAACTCATTATGTGTTATTGATAACACTGGAGAGAGGAGAACAGCTGAAACTTACTGTGCCTTGTGACTTTTTGGTATTTCTTGAATATACACAGCTGGATGAGTTTGAATTTATTTTAAAAATTCCTGCCTAAGAGAAAGAGAGAGCTCCATAAGCAAGAACTGTGTTTGAAGTGACTTTCAAAATGTGTGCCTTCTGCTTTAGGATAAAGCAATCCAATGAATTATTTTTTGTACCTCTTTATGCTCTATTTACATATGAAATAAAACTAATTGGCTTCTGTCTATACTAATCCAGAGGAGTTACTGGGTCTGTGTAGAGCTATCATGGGAATCAATAGCAATCATCCATTTATTTCCTTTCTGTTTTTTTGTCAATAAGCAGATTAGACTTTTTGAAGCAGCTGTCACCTGGCTGCAGGTTGGGGTCAGTCTGTTCCTGAAGTATTTATGGTAATGAAAATGAACCTTGCTAAAGCCAAAGATGTATAACTTTTAAATCAGACAGTTGAAGAAAATAGCTTATAAGGTTATCTGGCATGATATAGTATGCATTTTCTTGCATTGACTCTAAAGCTTTTATTTTTTATTATAAATAAGTGGGAAAAAATAATGGTCCATTCAACATTTAAGACTTCATTCTGCGTATGTGGACATGAAAAAGCTGCAATTTGATGAAGTCTGCTATGTTCCTGTATCTCTTTCTTACTTTTACACTAGAATTTCTGGATTCTGGATTTGCATTCTACTATGAAGCAAGTAAATTCATAAATTTTGTCTGTGCATCTCTGATCTAA